ACACACACACACACACACACACACACACACACACACACACACAGAGAGCTCTCATAGTCTGCCTCAGTCTGCACCCGTTGTTTCACACTGGGCAAAAAATGCATTTAAACCAGCTGAAGTTAAGTTTAGAGCACAGTTTGAAATGTACATCGAAGGAAAACTGCATGCATCACTTTATACTGCGGTCAGAGCAAACGTGATCTGCAGCGTCTGTCTGCTGCACGGCGGCAGCTCTAACGTAACAGCGAGAAAGGACCGAGAGCTTTTTATTTTAATCCAGCAGGGAGAACAACAGAGGTGTTCTTCTATGTCTCCTGTGAGCAGTTCCAGCATTTTTTAAAAGAAAAACAACTCGGACACGCTAATTACAGCGCGGTTTCAAACTGAAAGTAAAAACATGGCGGCGCTCCCGTTCAAAGTGAAACTTAACACACAGCTGTTCTCTCTACCACACATAGTCCGACACAGAGGGCAGAAACAGCTAAATCAGACAGTTAAAACATTAAAAGTTCATAACTCACCCTTATTGTTGTTGGCACTCTGTGGAGATTGTGCCGAGGCTGTCACTGTTAACAGTGAACACCAGAGGGCGCAATTAACAGCTTTCTTTGAGGCACCGAAATAAAGCACCAAAATTAGAGTTGTGTTTCAGTCTGAGTACTACCGTTTATGTTCACCCCGGTACCATACTGGAACCGAGTTTCAGTACCAACCCTAAATGTGCATGTGTAAAAAATATTGAAAAAGGCAGAATATTTACACTACAGTGTTTCAGTGCRGATAAATGTGCAATAACCACAGAAATGCTATTTAAGTAATAACTAATAAACAGAGTAGGTGACTGTGTAAACACAAGCATGGATGCTTACTGAGCATGCTTATTGTAGGCTGAGTGATTTGTACATTCTCCTCTGTCAAAGGCGCTCTGGTTTCATTTAAAAGGGCTGATCATCAGACACTGTCCAAGATTAACCTTCAGAGTGGATAAGAGCTTACAGTCTCACACCCAGGGGTAGACATAGGAGCTGTCTGATTTACTCATTTTTAAAAAATACAGCATAGGAAGTTATTTGCACAGAACAAATGTATTTATTTTTATTGTTTTTTTCTTCTTTTATCAAACTGACAGATTTCTCCAGTAAAATGATTGTTTAAATTAAAGGGATTATATTTACAGGTTTTCGGCGTTAATACTCTATTGTTTTATATTTACTGAATTACATTTATCACAGTAGCTCTCATTATGGTTCTAAACGAGTTTAGCACAAAACAGCCACAGTGACTGGCTGGTAGTTTCTTCTACTGGGGTCCCTTCTATTGGCTGGTTCATCTGTACTTCCAGGCATTCAAATTGGTTATATCAGACAACTAGAAGCTGCTTATGTCGATCCCTGAATATGTTTTTTTTATTTAAAAATGTCTATTAATATTGATCATGACTGATTTATGGCAGCAGTATAAGAATAAAAAAATCCATGGGGATGATTGCTTTTTGTGGTACTGTCTTGTCGGTACTTGTCTGAGTTGGCAATCAAACGTGTCTGTAAGACAACCACAACGCTCCAAACACATTAAAGTTTAAATAATACAAAGTAAGAGTTTAGACTCTGAAGGTTAGAGGCACGTCGCAGGAGGAGATGCAGTCAAGCAGCCTCTGCTTCGAAAACAACAGTCAAGTGATCTCTCACAGTTGGATGTGCACGTGAACACACTGTGTTAAAGTGGAAATGCTGCCAGGTGAATTGAAAAATACAATATATATAAAATATGTAGGTAATCCTCATTGGAAAATAGTCCGGGAAACGCCAAGAGTTTTCACTATCATCTGACTCTAGGCTGCACACACCCGCTGTCAATCAGCATGACCCGCCCTGATCTRCTCTAACTGGGTAAAACTGTGACTGGTTCCCTTTAATAGTAGAAAGAATTTTATATTTTTATTAATCCTAAGTATTTAGAAAAATGCTATTTAAATGGCTGGAAAATAAATAGTTTTGAGTAGATTTATTTCTAAATTTTCTGGACCYTCCTAGGATCACTTCGTGCTGCTGGCTTGTGCTAACATGTTTAGGTTTCTCATTGCCACCAGCAAATGTTKACAGGYATAATGTTTGCATAATCATGTCTTATAATTTATTTGACAAGGTCTTGCTTGTTAAACTAAGTGCATTTCATTTAGTTATAATGCAGATCCGTTATAAATTAAACCAAGATTTGGATCAGTTTTTACTTTGATCAGTACATTGTTAATGTCTGAATGGGATTCAACAATTTGGGTGCAAAGGTTGAGAAGTTTAAGAACCCTTGAAAACGACCCAAAGATAATATATTTATTAATTATAATTTGAGAAAATGCAATTGTTGTTTAACCAAAACACTATAGTTGCGTATTTCTCCACATACCACTTTAGGACTAAATCCTCAGTTCGATGTGATGGGTCACAAATGAACAATAAATTAAACAAAATAATATTCCTTGGAAATATCAAGTTGATTTAAAGTACAGCATTTTAAAATCAAATAAATAGTATCTTCTAAGATTAGGTCAACAGGCTTACCCAGTAAAAGGTTGAAACTCAGAGAAGTTGGCCCAGCCTGTGTCTTGTTTCTCTGCTCCACTCCCATCCTGGTTCTCCCACCCTGTTGGTGTCTGGGACGCAACAGTCCCTTCAGAATCCCTGAAATTTGCCGTCCAGTCAGGACCTGATAACAAAACAAGAAGACAAAAGACTTTACTGAGACAAAATGTGCTGGTTTCATTGTGTTCTGGGATCAGTCTTCAATCATTAAACCAACCTGCATCTGATGTGTTCTGTTCAGAATCTTCATCCTCATCAGATTCAGAACCTCGATCCCGTTCCCGGTGTCCATTTTCCATACTGCTCCTGGAGCTTCCCTCTGAGGTTTGAGAGACTCCAAACCTAAAGGAGAGGACGTCAAAAAGAAGACAGGGTTAATAGTTATGGTGTTTGGCATATGGAGACCCGCAGTGAGCACAAAATCAAATTTACCTTGTTCTGGATTTAGCTTGTGTTGCATAGTTGATCTCCTTCTCCTCCCAAATGTCTTCTTCCTCTTCATTATCATCAAACTGGTGTATCCTCTCTTTACAGCAGGCTTCGAAAGCAGCCGCGTTGGCCTGTGGACAAAAACAATTTATATCAACAAACAATCTGCAGCATGTTTAATCCAATCCACTGGTCTTTTTAAATCACAGGATACAAAGAAAAGCACAACTTCAAATGATAAATGATTTTTAGTCTTTTAATCTAAAACAACTACTTCATGTTTTAGAACTGACTGATTTTGTTGATGATGAAAATTTACACACCATTATGTTATGATACAAAACCATAACTGCAAGCAGTTTTCAGTGGGGTCTAAGCCCCTTGACGCACGTTGATCTTGGTTCATGTATTCCATGGCACCCTGTCAACCTTGTGTACCGCAGAGTTGTGGAATAATGAGGAGTAAATATAAGGTCTATTTGAGCTACTATAGTCTCAGACGCTTTTTCTGTCTTAGTGCGTGTCTATGGACATGTATAAATGTTTTGCAGTAACGTTATACAAGGCAGTGAGTCCCAAAGTTGGGGTTGGGAATCCACTGTGGGTCTTGAAACATTGGATGGGGTCTAGAAAGGATTTCCAAAATGAATTAAATTTAAAAAATAACTGCAAACAACTTTTTTTGCCTTAGTTGTTACAATAGAGTGAGGTTAGTGTCCTTAAACATAGATGAAATGTTGTTTTCATGCCCTTGTTTATTGTTTATCGATACCGATGTTTATCACCCAAAAATCGTTGGGGGCACAGCTCTTTGTTACTGTTATTTGTGGGTCAAAAGCTGAAAAGTTTGGGAACCAGACCACCTCTGAAGGTGGTTTAACATCAATTTCAATGAGCATTTAGAAAGTTCAGACCTGTATTTAGTGTTTTTAAATTGGAATCTCAGAAGTTAGCCACAAATGTGAATAGCCTCAAAATGCTTGTCAGCATTTCACTGCAGATAAACTTGACACTGGTTTGTAAAGCTACTGAGTGCAAAATAAAAGATGAGTCAAAGCTGAAAAAGGTTTTATTCTACYAGGAAGCCAGAAATAATTGTTCTCTTCTCTTTTCTGTTTTAATGTTGTGATGCTGTGGGATAATGTAGGATAACCTGTGGGACAGGAAAGTGATCTTCATTGTTTGACAACTGTGTTTTGCTTCTTACAGAAAATACGTATGTAGGGAAAAAGAATAGAATGAGAATGCATAGCCATCTTTGTCAGGTACCTGAATAAAAGAAAACTTATTTGAAATATTCATTAACTCATATTTACTACATGTGACTCACTATATGGTCAACTAAACAATGAGACAGTTTGGTGTTAGTGCATTTTGAACACTACTTAGATGTAGTGGTATTTTATTAACTGTACGTCGAACATTAAAAGGTGTCACAAAAATAAATATTGTGCTGTAACAAGGTGAATGAACAAACCATTGTACTGGAGATTATGTCAATGGGAACACAGTGGATGAAGTTTGTGACCTAGGAATTTGTTCTCTGAGAAATCGGGGCAATGGAATCAGATTGTAGCTACTGAAACTGTTCACGGTCTGTTTTGATTAGTTAGATACACTTTAATATAAGAAAGATTGAAAGGCACATAAGAAAMATATTTTCTTAATATCACTTACAATGTTCTGAATTTTGGACATCAAGAAGGACACTAGAACAAAATACTCAATACTCTATAAATCAAAAGATAATTTTCTAGTAGTTGATTTATCAATTTACACATGAAGAATGTGTCATACTGAATGGGAAAAATTACTAGGTTTAYCAGCTTCATTTGCTTATCTTTGAACAATCTAAGGCTGCTGTTACAGTACATAATATTAGAATAACACAAATCAATGTTATCATATTTACTGTACCACAAACCTATGGTTCTATAGTAAATACAAATTTGTAACATGTATCAAGAGTAGAAAATTAATATAATTTAGCAGGTTAATGAAATTCAGTCTTGGGTTGTATCATACAAAATAATAATTTGTTTCCTTTTTTAACCAGGAATTTTATTTGTACCGTTGAGGAATTAGAAAAAATTGCCAGTTTTATATTACCAATCATCATAAATGCCCTTGACCTTTGATGACCAAATCTAATCAGACTGAGTACTACCCTAATGGAGTTACTATGCGTATTTATAAGTAAATATATAATTTCATTCAGGTGATATCATGCAAACAAGACCACCCGTGACAGACGGACACCGCACTAACACAGAGACAGCCAGAGAACAGTATATGCCTCAAGCTCCAGTGGGCGGAGGCATAATGAAAACTTACACTATTATCATCAGCATCTAGAATGAATTCTATGTCTGCAATTCTGTCAAATGTGGCACTGTGGAAAGAAAACAACATGTTTAAATGTCAGCCAACATTAAATGGAAACAAACAATGCTGCAGCAAAACTCATGAAGCTAGTGATCAAAGAAATCTGGTCAAACCACCAAATGCATAGCAGTAGTTTTTACTTAAGTGTGTTCAGCTGTGAGAAACTTCAACTAAGACATACTTGATATTTTCATCGTGCTCGCTGAACTCCTCGTCATGGAACCCAAACTGTTCCACAAAGTTGGCAGTCATCTGTTGAATCTGATAATCTGAGAATGCCTGAATAAGTGAGAGGGTGCGTTATTTTATCAATAGTTGTTATTGTAATATTTTGTTTTTCCAACCAGCTGAGGTTAATTTACCTGTTGAAGAGACAAGTCATTGGGGAAGGGGCTCTCCATCTCATCGTCCTCACTAGATGAGTGCATGTGGTGGGTGCTTACCTGCAAGAAACAAAGAAATAAATCAGACAAATATTAGATGCTTGGTGGTTTTACAAGTCCTATATGACTTTGAACTTACAAAATGAGAGAGAGTAAGGAGAAAAGTTTTAATGCTTTGAAAAAAGAACTAAAAAACCCAGGAACAAAGGCAATTGCTGCACTTTATCAATAAAATTTTAATGTATTCCTGTCTATAAAAAATCCCAATAATCAACCGTTTTCTGTTGACTATCAGAACATTGGTTACAATATGGGGAACTCAGACAAGGCATACAGTGGTTTGCAAAAGTATTCATACCCCTTGAACTTTTCCATATTTTGTCACATTACAACCACAAACATAAATATATTTCACTGGA